AAGAAAGTTAACTCCACCCCAGCCAAAGCAGCAGAGCTTTCTATCTGGTTGCATGAGTACTTCACCTCTGCACACACTGAGCACACAAGCTGATACGTACTTGGATAAATCCATGATGTCAATGTGTCTCAGCCTCCAGCAGCGTTGACAATGCTGTGCCTCTGCTTTGTGAGGTGTTCTTTGCAGTGGAAGTAGAGAAGCATGCCCACCAAGGAAGGATTCACCTACCTTGGCAGATTGGCACGGGAGAATCCCACTGGTACATGCCGTTCTGGTGCCGCCTGCACGTGGCATTGCTGTGGCCAATCATTCTGTACCCAGGTTTGCAGTAATAGCGAACTTTGCTGCCAGCAGGACCACCAGTTTTATTTACAATTCCACCATTCCTCAGGGTAGGGTTTAAGCTGCAATAAGGAGCTAAATGTCCAAAGAGGAACATAGTTAAAAACACATAAATTGCACTTCATGTGTAAAGTTCACATTCTTTTGTGGCATGTACAAACTTAATATAGCACTGAATCCTGTACAGGACTTCTGGAATTCTCAGTGAAGATACAGACTTGGTCAGATATATCATGAAGTTCACAATCATAACTGATAATCACAAACCAGTTTATGTTATTGAACATGAGGAATTTGCAATCAGGGAACATACAGATTGTTCAGTAAGTTCACTCACACTTAGAGTCTACTTCAAATTTGATAAATTTATGAAGTTATTCTTTGAGCTATGCGATACACAAACCCGGTGATGAGCAGTTTCGTGTTAAAAATCCATTGCATTTAGACATCAAAGTAAAAACGCAAACATTTTTTCAAATATGTTACCAATTTCTCTGACAAAAAACAATACAGTGTGACAATGCTAACCAGAATGTGTCTTGGGTGGACTGTGGTGTTGTTTCATTTTCTGGAGACAATTATCCAATAGAAGTTGGGGGTTTATTTCAAAAGTGCAGAACTACAGATTTAGGTATATATCTTTCAGTATAGAACCACAGAATCAACCAGGTTGGAAAAGACCTCCAAGATCATCAAGTCCAACCCTACCATGGTCACTAGCCCATGGCACTAAGTGCCACATCCAGTCTCAGCTTGGAAACCTCCAGGGATGGTGAATCCACCACCACATTGATGATTCCATAATTCTATGCCCAGGGAGGTGGTGCAGTCACCATCCCTGGAGGTGTTTCAGAGGTGTCTGATGTGGCACTGCAGGATCTGGGTTAGGGTTTAGTGGTTCCAGCAGTGACAGGTTAATGGTTGGACTGGATGATCTTTGAGGTCTCCTCCAACCTTGATGATTCTCTGAGAAGCCAACAAGAAGGTTACAGACAAGCAGTGTGTGTAGGCCTCATCCATGTAAAAGCCCTACTAAAACATAGTATTTTGTGCTGCAAAGGCAGCACAATATGAGTAGAAAAGGCTGTTCCTCAAACCAATTTATTACGTGTAATCTATAAATAGCATGAAGAGAAGAAAAGCATTTGAAGCAAACGATCTAAAATTCTGAAGGTGGATTTTTACTTTACAACTCTGGTAGATACAGGGAAGGAATATTCATGACTCCATACAATTCCCTTCTTAATCTAGAGTTTAGTAATTTTTAATCTGCTCTTTAAACAGAACTCCCTTTGGAGCCCAGGATGAAGCACACACAATGTCTTCTAGGATCAGGAACTGACTTATTAATGGAAGAACCACACACAAGGCAATGAATAATAAATCTCTGAAGACCTGAAGTGCAAGGAAATGCTTGAAGAAACTCAGGCTGAAAACTACAGCCACTGTCAGCTGAGGGAAAATGTTGAGCTTAAGCAGAAACCCATCCAGAGAGCTCATAAAATATTGCAGCTTTGCAGCAAGGCTTGAATAAAATGCCTTTTTTCCCCCAGGCAGTTTCTGAGAGGGGAATCTGTCCTGGAACCTCATGAGGCTCAGCTGAAATAGGTGTAATGACAGGAGTGCTCTCATCTAGGAATGACAGTGTTTTACCAAAAAATCTGATAAACTGCTAGGACTGTTCCAGTGACCTGAAAGAGCTTTATGGTTAGAGATTTAATTTACTTTTCCAAATGACATAGTAGCCACATTCTTTCAAGGCCTCTTAAATACCAATGTATTTTGCAAGGCAACAAACTGAACATTTTCAACTCACTTCTAATCACAACATCCATTTGTAACTTGCAACTGAATACTGAGAAGGTAATAACTGCCTGGCTAAATCACACATCACAAGTCAACTGATGTGTGGACAGCAACACAGATAAACACTTTGCATTTGCAGGAACATAGTCTTCCTTAGCAAAGCATAGTCTCTTAATAGCTGGAACACTTAAACATTTATGCTGAGGGTTATTAATTTTTTGCTGTTTGAGACACTGTCTAAGGGAGGTTAATTAAATAACACCCAATTATAAACTGATATTCTTTGAAACTGGATGTCATAGAATCACTGGGATTGGAAAAGACCTCCAAGATCATCGAGTCCAACCCTCCCGTGGTCACTAGCCCATGGCACTAAGTGCCACATCCAGTCTCAGCTTGAAAACCTCCAGGGATGGGGAATCCACCACCTCCCTGGGCAGCACATTCCAATGCCTGAGCACTCTCTCTGGAAAAAATCTCTTCCTAATCTCCAACCTAACCCTCCCCTGGCAGAGCTTGAGTCTGTGCCCTCTTGTCCTGCTGCTGGTTGCCTGGGAGAAGAGACCAACCCCCACCTGACTCCAACCTCCTGTCAGGGAGTTGCAGAGGGTGAGAAGGTCTCCCCTGAGCCTCCTCTTCTCCAGGCTGAACACCCCCAGCTCCCTCAGCCTCTCCTCATGCCACTTGTGCTCCAGTCCCTTCCCCAGCCTCGTTGCTCTGCTCTGGACCTGCTCCAGCCCCTCAATGTCCCTCCTGAGCTGAGGGCCCAGAACTGAGCACAGGATTCAAACTGTCCAAACCCCCCAGATGATTTTGTAGATCTCAGTCTTATATAATATGACATAATGATAATATGTTCATATATATAAATGTCAGTAATACGACATTTTCTCTAAAAATTTCTTTTAGCAAAGAACTTAATTTCCCAGCAGCATCTTTGATCAATAGTTAGATCTTAGTCTTAGAGAATATGACATAATGATAATATGTCCATGTATATAAACATCACTAATATGACATTTTCTCTTAAAATTTCTTTTAGCAAAGAACTTCATTTCCCAGCAGCATCTTTGATCAATAGTCCTAAAATTTCTATGAAGAAGATATTTAGAAGCATTCACAGAAAGAGTTGTAGGTTTGAACTTTATATAAATAAACAAACATTCCTTCAAATCCCAAATTGCCTTTGTCTACCTTTCTTAGATTTTATGTTGACAGATTAAAAGCCGCAACTTAGTCCACTGCTTCCTTCTAAATTTCCCTTTTGGATACTTACTTTTCTTCATCATCACATTACCAGGGAATCTTATGCCTCTGTGTTGCTGTTCTCTAAATATCCATAGTGGAACAGGATTACTATCATGCTCACTGTAACCACTCTCACTTTATAGGTAAGAAATCAGACTCTGGCTAAAGTAATTAGGTAAGGTCATAAAAGAAAACTAAGCACACCTCTTCTGATTACTAAACCATTTCCTGAATTAATGGACCATTCACTCCATATGTTACTTTTCTCTTTCTAATGGACATAAGCAAAATGGAGAACAAAATTCAACAAAGCAACAAAAAAGGGTCAGGCTGTCATTCTGCAAAGGCCTGTTCCCTCTTTAGTGATGCAATTGTGAATGTCTGCCCCTCCAGAAACTAAATATGTGACTAATTAACTTTCTATTTATAGGACAGAAGTTCTTACTGATGGCCCAACACTTAGAAATGATCCTGCATATTTCTCCTGTACTGTATAAACCTTGATTGTGACTTTCCTGCTCTATTTACTACAGCAAATTACCCCCAACATTTTTAGTAACCAGAGCAGAAATAATTATACAGCCTGATGAACTTCTTCATACTTGTCACTTCTAACCAGCTACTGGAAAATGCAGAGACCAACCAATCAATAGCCTTTGCTTCCAAATTGAGATAGAGTGGGAGTAAGAGCAGTTGTTTCACAGGTGGAAAGCTTAAAAATAACTTGGAATTAATGGTGAAGAATTGAGGTTCTTGCAATAAGAGACGAGGTTAAAGAGCAGAATAAAGGTTTGCTGGGTTAACCCTGGCTGGATGTCATCCTGAGCCCTGATGTGGAGGGAGCAGTTGGATGGGGCTCAGAGATCTTCTGGGGTAAAACACAATACAGAGCTCAACTTAACTCCTGACTCACTGGTACAGGAGGGTGGGAATGGGTGTTGCAGTGAGTTCATCACACGTTGTTTCTGCTTCTCCTTCCTCCCTGGAGGAACACTCCTCACATTCTCTCCCCACTCCAGCATGGGGTCCCTCCCATAGCAGACAGTCCTTCATGAGCCTCCCCAAGGTGAGTGCTTCCCACAGGCCACAGCTCTTCATGAACTGCTCCAGTGTGGTCCCTTCCATGGGTGCAGTCCTTCAGGAACAGACTGCTCCAGACCAGGTCCTCCACAGGGTCACAAATCCTGCCCAGAAATCTGCTCCAGTATGGACTCTTCTCTCTGTGGATCCACAGCCAGGAACCCTCTTGGGGGTTCTCATGGGGTCACAGCCTATTTCAGGCATCCACCTGCTTTGGCATAGAGTTCTCCAAGGGCTGCAGGTGAATATGCTCCACCATGGACCTCCATGGGCTGCAAGGGAATCTTTGTTCAGAGCCTACAGCACCTCTTCCCCCTCCTCCTTCCCTGACCTTGGTGTCTGCAGAATTGTCACTCCAACAAATTCTCACTCCTTTCTTCTGGCTGCTGCTGAGTGAGGACTTTTTGTCTTCCTAACTGTGTTATCACAGTGGCACTACCATTGTTGCTCATGGGCTTAACCATGACCACCAGCACATCTGTCTTGGAGCCAACTGGACATGGGGGAAACTTCTGGCAGCATCTCCCAGAAGCCACATCTGTAATCCCCCTGCTCCCAAAATGTGGCCACTTGAACCCAATGCATAAGGTAAAATAGAGATGGGGTTTTAATGCATATATCTACAGCTCTATTGGCAGGAAATTACAAATTAAGGCAAGTGGTGACTTAGCTATCTACTCTTGAATGACTACCCAAAAGCTAAACAAAAGCCTGCAAAGGTTACAGCAGCAATGCCAACTTGAAAAGTAGGGAGTGAAGTACCTGTCTGGTTCCCAGGTCCTCATGCCTCCAGCAGCTCTGCCCTGGCACTGTAGTGCCCTTTCATTCCTTCTACTGCTACTTAGACACCAGAATCATCTACCTCTTCTTTGTTATGCTTTTATCCTAGCTTGCTTGGGTAGGACTGTGCATGCAGGGTTACAAATTATTGAGGGAGAACAAAGCCAAGAACAATGTTCTTCAGGTGTCTTTCAAAGCAGTTTCAAAACTTTCATCTCTTACAGAGTGGGTTTCCTAGCCTGGGCTCAGCGAGTTCCACTTTCTGCACTCACAGATTTGGAACAGTCTGCACAGTTTGGGTGGAACCCAGCTGCACCAGGAAGTCAAGTTCAAGCACTACAAAAGCATGAAAAAAAAAAGTATTTCATCACACAAGACCTTTTCCTTGTATTTTTTTTTGCCTCCATTTCAGTGATTTTACCATACTCTATCCCTTTCAAAGAGAAAAGGGATTACTGCCCTAGAGCAGCAAAAAAATTTAACTGACACTTCCCCTCCTAGTTTGACTATGCTGTACAGATACTTCATAGATTAAGAAAGAGATCATGCAATATCTAGGTGTTAATGCAGCTAGGAAATGTATTACTGAGACTAAAATCATGCTAGTGCCTGTATATGTCAAAGCCCTGAAAAGAATCCCCCTCTGCTGTAATGCTACAGAGTTTTTTTCTACTGAGAGTTAGCAAAAAAGCCTTAAACCACAACATAGAAAATGTACTATTAGACAAACATCTTGCACAACTAAGGTTGCATGCAAAATAAAATATTAAGCATCCCCCTGAAAGCTTCTAGCACATTGTAACAGTGAATAAAATTCATATCTACAAGTGAAATCTAGTCGTGGTACAACTCCAGCTCACAAAATTCTGTGCACTGGCAAAGCTGCAGAAGAAAGGAAGGGTTAGGGGAGGGCAGGAATTCATTTCAATAGGGTCTTCATTAGGAGAAGCCTGCTGGCTCAGTCACAGCTGCCACAGTATCAATAGCCTTTTGGGGAGTTGGTATTTTTCCTGCTTTCATGATGTTGCTTTCCCTCATTAAGATTCAAATCCAATTGTTTATGCTGCCGCTCACTGTTACTCTTCTTTCATGCTGATTATTTCCATTGAACCCCATGTAAAATGTACAGAAGTTTAGAGAAAAATGAAGGCACTGACTGGTAGTGGAAAAAGCTAAACTGTTGTTTGTTCCTAAAACATAGCCATAAGGATTGCATAGCTCTCTCCAATCCCTTAATTTTATTATTAGTTGCAGCAAGTGTCATAATAATTGATGAATGAGGCATAATTAGCAATTAGACACATCACTTCTACACTTCTGCAAAATACTCTCTGTACATGCAAAGGTGTTAAAGAATTTCCCTCTCCTTAAAAATCAGTCTCCTTAATAATATGATACTTAAAAAGCAAATCCTTTAGAATAATAGAACCACCAAGGTTGGAGGAGATCTCTAAGATCATCCAGTCCAAGCATTAACCTGTCACTGCTGGAACCTCTAAACCCTAATCCCCATCATTCATGAAGAAACTCTACATCTAAACAAGATACTCAAACCCTCAGAGTACAGGACTGTTGTGTGTTAGCTAATGCACAAACTGATAACTAAGAGTAATGAGCTATGAGATTATAAGTTAATACACATCTACACCCAATGAGGTACCTACTCAAAGAGTCTTTGCTATCCAGCAGTTTGTCAGGTGAAGAAGTTGCAGCCTATGTTGCTTCTTGGTAGCTATTGACTTACTTTGTGTCAGTGATTTTTCTCTTAAATGCTTAACCTGCTAACCAGTAATTAGAATCACAGAATCATCAAGGTTGGAAGAGACTTCTATGATCATTGAGTTCAACCATGAACCTGTCACTGCTGGAACCCCCAAACCCTAACCCAGATCCTGCAGTGCCACATCAGACACCTCTGAAACACCTCCAGGGATGGTGACTGCACCACCTCCCTGGGCAATATCCCAGTGCTGAACACCACAACAGGCAAAACATTTCTCCTCACCCCCAATCTGACTCTGCCCTGGCTCAGCTCAAGGCCATTCCCTCTCTCCTCTCCCTCAGCCCTGGCAGGACACACATCCCACACCTCTCTCCAGCCCTGCTCCCTTCACTGCCACACATTTGAGGGCTAAGATGTGACAGATTCTCTTTGTCACACCTCAATTCATCTCTTAAGTCTTAAACTTGCTTTTTGACTATGAAAAACTAAATGAATCTCCAGTATGTTTGAAAACAACTTTCCTTTCCCCACCCCTGAATTTCAGTTTGTAGCAATATTCCTAAGGCTCCTTGCAAGGTGAAGATAATGCTTTTACTGACTTCTTTTTTCATGACTGCTCACAGTTCTTATAGTTCCTAAATCCCCAAAAGGATGATTATTATGCTCTGAGCTGAGCTCTGATCTTCTGTTTCAGTAGCAAGAGAAACTTTCCAAAGTTAGACAGTCAGAGCATGGATGGTGCAGAAAAGGAGTGAGCTTTGTGAAAACCATAAATGGCTTTAGCCTGACTCAGGAGGAGACAGTGGTGCTTGGTAAAATGTTCTGCTAAAACAGTCTTAGCATTTTTTTCTCTACTACATTTATATTGACAACGATTAGATGAAAAAATTAACACACACAACCTTTACATTGCTAATCAAGTCCAAACACAGAAAAAAACAAATGGTAATGACAGTAATTATCACCTTTCTCTCTCACAAACACTATTTGCATCATGTAAATGATCCCTAAGCCAAGTCTTTTAGTAGCAATGTGTCTGTAGATGCATGTGGAGAAACATCTTGAATAGGCTAAGGATCAATATGTGTACACAGAGTGTAATTCAGTACTGCAATAAGCTTTTTCTTATTTTATTTTGATCAATAAAGGAAACAATTTTGACACTATTTAGATACACAATTCCCATATTTTAATACCACCACAATACCAGATTTACACACAGCCTGTTCAAGAAAGGGATTTTCCCACCTCCTCCTCACTCTGCTTTTCCATGTATTTGAATGTGAAGAAAAGCACAGTAATGAGAGTTGTGAACTGCAACTCTAGGAAATTGTAAACCTCCTAATTGTGTACTGAATTGCAGGCTAAGTAGCACATAGCAATTCAGGATGAAAAACTCTCACTTCTGAGTGATTCTGTGTAAATCTAAGGGCTGTCCCTACCACTGCATGTCAAAGGCCTCACTCCAGGTCTGATGAGAGAAGAGATTAGGTGCAGAAAGAAGTGTTAATTGGAGAGTCCTCGAATTTTAGGGGTTGGGATGGAGCTGAGAGCTCATCCAGCCCCAAGCCCTGCCCTGGGCAGGGACACCTCCCAGCAGAGCAGGTTGCTCAAGGCTCATCCAACCTGGCTGTGAACACTGCCAGGGTTGGGGCAGCCACAGCCTCCCTGGGCACCCTGGCACAGGGTCTCACCACCACAACAGGGAAAACTTCTGCCTAAGATCTAATCTAAATTTCCCTCCTTCAATTTGTGCCCATTGCCCCTTGTCCTGTCCCTGCAGCTCCTAACCAAGTCCCTCTCTTCAGCTTCCCTGTTGGTTCCCTTTGAACAAGTATTGACCTGGAGATCTTTAGCAGACTGGGGAAAAAACAGAGACCAAGTTCTGTGCTGACCTTAAAGTTAAAATAGAACGATCACACATCCTTAATATGTATATTATGATAAATTATCTTCAGCGACACAGACATTATATTGCAAGTCTTGATTTGATGCTAACTAGTTGCCATGGTTTAAGCTCAGCTGGACAATAGTGTATGTAACCACCAAATAGAAGTGAAAGAAACCACTAATAGTCACCTGAGTAACGGATCTTGAATCCTTTCTTGCTGGTTGCATGATCAGTTGACCAGCGAAGATACAGCTGATTCATTCTGCTCGTGAAGTTCAGTTGCCCAGTATGATTTCCACTTAAAGCAACCAGTAAAGGACTTTGCCCAGAAGAACCTTCAGAGATTAACAAAGAAACTATTGAAGATTTAAAGTGCTATGAGTTGAAGGAATGTTTTCCATCCTGTTACTCAGCTGTGAATGTGAACACAAGGAAAGGATAGGGAATAACCTGACACAAACTCAGAGAAATAATCAACAGGTTTCTGTTTAAACTGTCCATCTGGTTTCAGGTTTTCACTAGAGGGCACAACATAAAATCAGACAGAAATAGAAAACAATTAGTGATTTTGCCATAAATACTGAAAAAAGTTAATGAATTCTTTTGAAACAATTCATTTCTGTTTGACACCATTACACTGAATGAGGTTATGTTTCCACTCCTTGTCCTTTTATATCTGTTATTTATTCAATCTCTTCTCTAGCTAGTGAGTGGTAGCAAACATACACAATGACCTAGGGAACACAGTAGCTATAACAAGCTCCATCACATGTAAGATCATCACAATTTCAGCACAGAATACACATATGTACAAGTGTTATGAATTTACATACTTCTTTAGGGCCCAGTTCTGCTCATTAGTGTATTTACTATACTTTCATTTTAGTGTAAAAAAAGATGGTAAATAGAGGATGCTGAAAATATATGTATTGCCACTAGACCTCTATCTTCAGCACAATAAAACCCTAGAAGCACAGATAATGATTTGGGGGCTAATTATATACTATAACAACATATGTGCAAGAGGAAAAAATTCTATATATCAACCCATCTCCAGCTGAAAGCTTTCTAAAACTTGAAATGGCATCTTTTACTCCATATGAAGGTTACTCTTTCTCCAGCAAAACCCTTTAATATTCTCACTATGCCTTTTGCTCCATGTTTTTCCAAGTTTGGGAATACCATGCTCAGCCAGCATTATCTTGGTCACAGTTGCTACTACAAATAAAGAGCTGCTTCATTCAATTTTTTGCTGAGTTGGAGCAGCTGCAGCCTGAGCAGCTCTTCTTGTGTTGCATGAAAATACCCAACTAAAACTGACTCAAATGACACCTAAAAAATGAATACAAATCTTGTCAGCCTTCTCTCCCTCCAATCCAATTAAAAAAAAAAAAGAACTATATTTTCTGAGTGGGACATTTCAGGTACAAAAGGGAAGCCACAACAAATTATAAACATTAAGACAACCTCCCAGTTCTTAGGAAGGGCAGTTTGGTCACTATAAAGGCAATTCTACAACTATATAAACATTGCTAAATGATTTTTAAGCAATAAATACCTGCACATAGTAAGAATAAATAAGCAGAGCTTTAGGTGTAGGTTGCCCAGGATGCTCTCATTAAAATGCTTGGTGACTTGTTCATCATATTAGGGAGTTAGTCTTTGATGATTGCAGTGTAGGATAAATGCTAGGCAATGCTAAGGTCAAATCCTCTTTTTGCTTGAAAAAATGACTTAGAACATGACATTTCACTTGATTTCTCTGTGCATCACTTTGTGTTTCATGAAGTCTAATACTCTTGGTACAGTTTAGAATGTATATGCCTTTTCACAAGTCTCAAACAAAGGGACTGAAAGAGTTACAAATAAAGATCTACTACATCCAACAAGGGGAAAATCCTTGTTCATGATCATGAGATTAATTTGCAGCACCACGTGCCATACCAAATCTTTTAGCCATTGGGAGAGCAGAGGATTGAGTCAATGTATTTCAGTTTGCTTTGCCTTTCCTGGAGGTGAGTTGCAGTTTCTGTGCCTTACCTTGCAGGCAGCTCCTCAGAAGGTGTTCAGGAAGCTCAGCAGCATCACTCAGGTGTCCTTAAGCCTGATATAGTTTTAGTTATTACTTCACAATTTGTCTGTGTAAGGAAATAAATGCTCAACTTCTGCTGTGGTGACCTGTCCCATGATGCTTTCCTGAATATTAAGTTGACATTTCCTTCTCATTTCAATGACAGATTTGTTGATGTTGTTGTTTATTTTAGGGAGAAAAGAGATTATTTGCTGTATTAAGTGGATGCTACTCAATGCAAGTAGCCTGAATGTAATGTCTTCAGGTTGAGATGTTCATGGTGTATGTGGCTTCTCTGGTTTAGAATCCAGATGGGATTTCCTAAGGATATGACTGGTAAGTGGGAGTAGCTAACAGGTTTATCCCTCCCAGTTCACCAGGGTGGTCACATTGACTGGAAGCCTATCCTGACTATCCTCCAGCTGCTGAAGCACCACAATGTACAGGGTAGTCAGGTAGGTGTGGGCAGTGCTGTGCTTTGCATTCCCAAGCTGCCTTAGAAAGCAATCAGAGACTTATGCCTAATTCCCTACAATTTGTCCTGCCAAACTTTAAACAGTGTCTGTGGAAAGTCTGATGATGTGTGTTTAGTGGTATAGATAAACCAGTGCAGTTTTACTAACCTAAATAATTATGAGCTGGTTTGGACCACACAAGGTCCCCCAACAGGACATATATTTGTTACAAAATGCAGCAGTGCATGGCAATGCCTAAGTTAGCTCTGAATGAGCTAGTCTGAGTTATAAGCATCACTGGAAGCAGGAGAGTCACATCAGCATTGCCTCCTGCCCCACCAAACTCATCGTGCTGAGATGGAGAACCAATCAGCCCAGCAAAGCACATTGCTAATGTGGCCACTGGGACACAAATCTCTCTCCAAGGCACTGAGATGTGCCATGTTTGAACATCAACTTGTTGAGATCCAGCTCAGGAATCTCTCCGTGGCACTGCAATTGAGAGGTTATAAATATGTTGTTATCTTTGTCACTTCAGGTTGCTGGCAGGTGGTAGAAAAAAATTGCTCTGTAGAGTTGCAGTAGAGATGAATTTGTAAGGACATGATTTCATGCCATGAAATGAAAAGGCTTAAAACCAGAAGAAATATATTAATTCTTCCCTCAGATCAACTGCTGATAATGTGGTTTCATTACATTTCAATATATAAGAAAGAAAACCAAAATAGGCATCAGGAACATTCAGTAGTTTCAAGACTTTTACAAAAGAAAACAGAGTGATCAGACCACTAGAAAAGTTCTAGGCATGGTACATATTGTCTTGATGTGCAGTAAAGAAGAGAGTGGAGAAAAACTCCTTCTTAACAGATTTTTGCAGAGTATTTTCTCCTCTAGCTTGACTTGGACCAACTTGTTATTCTAATGAAGTGTCACTTTTAAAGAAGCAAAAATATTGTGTTTTTTTCAGCACTGTTACCAAAAAATTGAAAAATAATTAATAATTTTAGACATTAAACACCTTTTACTTAAGAAAATTACTTAGAGCAAGAGATCTCAAAAGATATGACTTTTGAATATTTTCCATGTTATCAAACTCCCATAGTGAATATTAATCTTTTCTATCATAGCTATCATATATTCTTGCTTAATGAGGGAAGATATGATAACAGCTCCAAGTGAATAAAAATATACTTAAGAACAATCAGAGCCTAGTTATTCTCATCCACCAGTGAGAGCAGAACAAGTGATAATAAGCACAGAATTCAGTGGGAAATAAGAATTCAATAAGACTCTTTCAGAGGTATTACTATGAGCAACACTGGAAATAGAGTTTTTGTCATTTCTCTGCTCTGTGTCCCAGAACAGATGGTCAAACATCTCAACAGTGGCATATTCAAACAGTGAACAGCACTGTCTGCTGTGCTATGGAGGAAGCAAACTGAGTATGTAAACTTCACTTGGAGCACTAGACTCAAATCATTGGATTCATTTGGACAAGTGGAATTATAACCCCAAAATACAGAAACGACCCAGCACAAACCACTGTGTTAACTTCTCTTTTCAGGCACCTCCACACATTTCCCAGGAAACAGAAAACTCTGATATTCACAGAGATGCTGCAGTTGCTGCTGCTCCTCCTCTAACAACACCTAAGAACTTTTAAAAGCTTCTTTGTCTTGGATACATCTCTAAGCACTTCCATTGGCTAACAGACTTAGATTTAAGGCAAAAGCAACAGAAATACTGAACTATCAAGTTTCATCATTGGCTAACAGATTTAAGGCAAAAGTAACAGAAATACTGAACTATCAAGTTTCAGATACATCACTGCATTATGAAACAATCTGAAATCAAGGCCCACTTGACCTCATATTTGTCCTTTTGTGATTAGATAGGATTTAAATCTTACCATCAAATACCTCCAGCTCATCAAATTGCTTTTCACTTTGAAACATTTCTACAAAAATGGAGATGTTATATCCAGGCTCAACTTTAATAGTCCAAGAACATGTCTGAGAGTTGGGATAGGTGCCTGGATAACCTGGACTGAGGATCACTCCTGAGGATTCTGTACGGATTTCATTTGCTGGACATTGTGCTAAAAAGGACACAGAAAGAACAACAAGAACAGCAATGAAATAAAGTGCTTCCCTTCCATGAGATGCTTAAGGTTCAGTTAACAAATGAAAACATGTTAAAACCATATTCTAGATGTCAGGAACACTAAAGTTTCTCATAGCACAGGCAGAAACAGGATCAACTTTATAAAACCTGCATTTAGGAAACAGGATACAAACTGTATATCTGAAGAGCCTACAAGGGAACAGGAGAGGGACTCTGTGTTAGGAACTGCAGGGACAGGACAAGGGGCAATGGGTTCAGACTGAAGGAGGGGAAGTCTAGGTTGGATGGGAGAAAAATGTTATTTACTCTAAGGGTGGTGAGACCCTGTCCCAGGGTGCCCAGGGAGGCTGTGGCTGCCCCAACCCTGGCAGTGTTCACAGCCAGGTTGGATGAGCCTTGAGCAACCTGCTCTGCTGGGAGGTGTCCCTGCCCAGGGCAGGGCTTGGGGCTGGATGGTCTCCAAGCTCCATTCCATCCCTTAAATTCTATGAATCTCTGTTAATAAGGAGAGGAAAAAATCCCAGTTTACTCAGGTACGGGTGGTCATGTGGACAAATTCTTTAGAGCTGCATAAAATATGTTATGGAATCAATAAACTAACACAGTTTGTACTGTGAATCCTTGATTAATTCTTAAATCAAGGATGGAGAGAACCAGGGTAAGAGGAAGAAAGATAAACATAAAATAATTGTGCTTGCAGTATTCCCTCTTGTGCATATGAATTATAGAATCACAGAATCATATGAAAACATCTGCACTTCTTAGATATTACAGCAATAAATGCTATAGTTTCTTTTAAACACTGCCAAAACAGTGCCCAAAAATATGATGCTTTATGCAGGATACATACTAATGAGAAGCATATTATGCAAGCATTTATTTACCTTCACAAGATGGAGAAGATCCTTCAAACTGCAACTGTGTATTCAGTTTGCAGGTTAATATATCTTGGCCAACAAGGGTGAACCCAGGATGGCATCTGTACTTCACAAAATCTCCTGCAAAAAAAGCAGTGGGAAAAATAAGTTAAGCCCCAAAAATCCTTCAAATAGAAGTATATCAAAAAACTTAGGTGGAAGATGGACTTAGTTTGCTTAGGATTCAAGTGAAAATGGAAGAAAGAAAAAGAAATATTGGGGTTTTTACCTATTTCGAAGTCATCATCTTCTGTAAACAAATCTGCATGAGGAACTGTGGGTGGAGGTTGGCACTTCTTCAGCTGATAGGCTGCAAATGTAAGTGAAATAAAGATAAAATACTGCAGGGTTAAGAATTATTTCACAGAAAATTCATTGCAAAGTCACACTTCCCAAATTATCAAAGTCTCCATGAGCCTCATGGTCTCTGTTACAGCATTTTCTGAGTGAAATGTCCTGACATTCCATGGGGGTGGTGAGGCACTGGAGCAGGTTGCCCAGAGAAGCTGTGACCATCCTATGCCAGGGAATGCACAAGTCCAGGCTGCAAAAGATTTTGAGCAACCTGGTCGAGTGGAAGGTGTTCCTGCCCAGGGAGGTGGTGGATTCCCCATCCCCGGAGGTTTTCAAGCTGAGACTGGATGTGGCCCTTAGGGCCATGGTCCAGTGA